TCGTGCAGAATATTGACTTGGACAATTTACACAATAATACAATTTACGTGAAGACATTATTTGCATTACACAGCGAGGCGCCATTTATATAGAAAATATATTTTATAATTGGATATTTTGGCACGAGATTTTATATGAGAGACGAATGTGGTTTGCAGAGTGTGTGAAAGAATTGTATGTTCCTGCTATTTAACAGGGAAAACTCATCTCTTGAGTTGCTGTATACATAATGATGAATAACGATTTGATTGCTGTGCATGGTAATTAATTAAATTTGCCTGAAATTTTCGTTGAATATATTCTCAAAATACACTTTCCTTTCGAGTATTAAGAGTCACTGCATTTGTGAGAGAGTGTGATTGAAATATGGGAGAGATTTATTTATTAATGCATTTTGGACATGTGAAAATTATGACTAACAATAATAATAACTTGAAATGTAAAATACAAAATTGTGGTAATTGAATAAAGTTTTGGTCAATTAAGTCTACAAAATGTGTTCCATTTTATGAATATTATCACAATTAATGACAATATCTCAATTTTACACACTCACAATTTGTCTATATTAGCATTTGTATTAAAAACAGTGAAAATACAAAATGTTAACGAGGTTTAAGGACACAATTTGATGGGACGGATTATGGGGGAAAACCTGTTGAAAATCCTTTATAATCGCCAAGAGCGAGTTGGCATCTTTCTGACACGAATTAAATTCTCAATTTGCTTTTCATAGCGTAACACTGCGATGAAGCCACGTTGCGGTGATTTTCCACCTTTTTCCCGTTCATCAAACTAATTTCAATTGACAATTTATTGATATTACTTTATACAGTCGTTCTTATGAGAACATTTCACAGTTTACAATTTTATTTGCAAAAAGTCATGTCTCGTCAGGGAAGTTAAGCACGAATTTATGAAGGTTTTGTCTTGTGTGTGCTTTTAAATTGGATTTGACTATTATATTCATGTGTGTTATATAGAGCTTTGGTGCGGTTAGAATGATTGCAGAGAATTCAACTCGTAGGCGCACAATAATAATGCAAATGCGTCATAGATTTGCACTCTCTGTTGTGTTGAGAATTCAAACAATAGGTAGAATTTATTTAACATACAAATATTTCATAGTTTTATGCGACACAACACAACAAGACATGCTCTTGACCTTTGTATTTTTAGTATTTTCTCCTTTCTGTCTGTGGTGTCTATGATTTGAGAAAGACATTATTCATTTTATTTTATGATCCACTTCACTTCGAAATGATTCTCTAAGCGCACAACATATATTGTAGAGTGACAATGAAAAAAAGTGATGTAGACAATAAATTCAATTTTCTTTTTAACACGCCGCAGTGAGGAAAAAGAAGATCGTGCAGAGAAACAGCGAAGCAAAAGAATCGGTTGCCAAGTTGAGAAATGAGCATCTTAATTAATTTTAATAATTTTCATATGTTGAGAAGTTGTCAGTTGATTTCTGCCAATAGACTTTTATGATAATGCATACGTATTCACATATGGTTATATGCTGTATTTTACCCAATAACTCTCAATGTCACGTCTGTCCATCCGCGAATATGTTTGCTCAAGTTGTCGTAACATGAAAAATTTCTAATCAAAACTAATCTCACAAGACACCTGTTCCCATCAACAATTAGCCACAACAACTCAAGACAATATATGCTATTTTGCGACTTTTCTTTCGGCCACTGACAAGTGAGAGGACAATTTTGTGTCCAAGTCTTTCCACATTCAAATGCAATTTGAGTCACATTTATAATTATGCCATTTTTATTCCTGAGTTGTTTGTCATCATGCAAAATGTGTGAATGAAATGTAACGTGAGTGAATGCATTTTGTGATATTTTCCTTGAGAAAAAAGAATTTATCTTTCGCTACACTTCATTAGGAGAGACAATTTAGCACCTCAAACGGAGTATGTTTAATTTGTCAAGTAGTGCCAATTTGCCGAACAACACTCACACCCACGAGCGTTTAAGAGTTTAATGTGAATTTAATTTACAACACATCTTCATATTATGGGCTTTCTCACATATATCGCGGAGTTATGTGTAAATATAGCGTAGTGAGAATATATTTTTACTATTGCGCAAAATTACACGTATATATACACAAAATGCCTATTTTTAGAGTAGCAATTAGGAATATATTTGGATATTAATAACACATATAAATAGGTAATGATTTGGGTGTAATAATAACGAATGATTACGTTATCTGCTTGGGAGAAGATTTCTTGGAAATTCAACATGTTTCCTTTTTGCTGTCGTCATTCTGAGAAATGATTATTTCAGCTGTTATCAATGCAGTATAATTGAGAGATAGAAATTTTAAAGTTGTTTTGTGACATCTTGTGTTTTCTGAGGTAGATTTTTCCTTTAAAATGTCAATGAATAGAGTAATTATGAAATGATTTATAGCGAACGTGTGGACTAATAAATATTTATTTTTGAGTTTGTGATTCTCAAGTTCTGAGAAACTGCAAACTTTCAAACTGCTTTAAGTGAACAATCTTAAAGTGAAATGCAATAATGACTCGTTTATATGAGGTGTTCAAAATTTAATACTGACTGAACACCTGTAAAATGTACACATTTTCTTACTATATTTCCTCTAGACTTAGGCAAATATATGTTTTCACGATGTAAAATCGATATCACGGTGAAATTACTCTGAGTATAATATTGTACGTGTTGTGTTTATATAAGAAATTCACACGCAAATAAAAATTGTATTTTCTCGCGTACACATTGTAAAAAAAAAGATTATTAGATTGCGGAAAATATATAATTTTGGTGTGTTGATATTATGATATTAATGGCGACAGCAAATATATATGTGTCACTCTCTTTTCCCCACCACAATTCGCAATGTGGCAATTTTTCTTTCAATTTCCTTACAATGTATCTTTACTGTATTTTAGATGTTTTAAGCTATTGTTATTTTTCATTATGAGTTTATATGTTTTTCTTGTGCGTCATGAAGTTCTTTTGGCTTTTTCTCTGTTGTTTTTCCTGGATGTATGAATTACAATTGTATTCTTTGGTGTTGTGTTATCTTTGCGCAATTTAGAAAATTCCACAGTTTATACATACGAATTTTTATTTTATGTACAATGCGATTTTCAGCTAGATTTTTGAAACTCTCTTACACTCGCTCTTGACATTGTGTAGTTATTTGTCTTTATAACATTCGACATACACGAGAGAGGTTTGCGGATTTTGTACATTATGCGGCGCTCACGAGCATGGATTTTATATCAACATGTTTTTCGCAAGGTCAACAAATCGGATTCTTTTTTATCATCTTGCAAGATCCAAAGATTAGCCGATTTTATTGCAGAGTTTGTTGAGAAAGACAGAAGTTAATATATTTAGTTCTTTGACACAAATTATTTAAATTATGTGGACATTTGCACATCTCTGACTATTTGTTTTGTGTCACTGAATATTTGCAACACTTTTGCGCTTCAAGTATTTCTCGTTGTATCATTTTGTTGGTGTTCTTGTGAACAATTGTATGACTATTTACATATCCAACCATTTAATGAATTGTATGACTGCGTCTTAAGACGAACGGACTCATGTGATATTTGTGTTCTCATCTTCCCGTAATGCGTTCTATGGATTGAGAATAAGAAAGACTGTGTGCATTATTATTGTGGTGTAATAATCTCATGGATAAAAATGTCTATTGAAACTATTATTCATTTGATAAACAACTGTGAATTCTGTGGTTATATTTTGTATCGGGTTTTGAATGATTGAGCGTGACTGCGTTGTGTACTTTTCAAGCATTGTGCGCAGAAATATTTGTGGAATTTCGCCACTGATAAGACTGAGAAATCCCACCTCGTTGTAATGTTTTAATAAATACAAGACTGCACACGTAGTTTTGTGTGGGTTTTCCTCAGGATCATTCATCTTCCCAACCAATTGGCTTTACGCTGACACATGACTCGCGTTGGCGATTGTGTATCTCTGGTTTCGCTATCAACACTCTCTAGTCGTCATCGTTCAATACAATGGGAAAAAGTGAGAAGATGCAGTGCTATTTTGGGCACTCGTGCAGCGTGTCTGTCTCAAAAGGACATGCGAACGTCATGGATGGAATGTCTTTACTGTGAAGTTGTATGACGATTTTTGCCACGTGAGAAATCATGCGCGCGTTCTTCATCAATTTTATCCGGCTTTTATACAGTACTTTAGAGACGCACACATGTTTGATTACAAGGGCATTTTTCACGACCATTTTCTTCTACTTAGTCTCAATATCAACGTTATCACAGTGAATTTGTGCACTTTCTGTGTGTGTTTATTTTCAATTAGATTGCTAAATCCACAAAAGGGAAACTATTCTGATTATTGGAGGCGGAAGATTAGTTTTGATTGAATCATGCTTTAGCATTATTTTTGGCCTATTTCATTTGAAACCATTATAAAATTCACTCATTGTAGTGATTTAGTATTTTTTGAATGAATCAAATACCACACGCCAAGGTCTTTAGCCACAGAACGACGCATATTTTGGGAGAATAACACACAAAACGAGAAAAGAGTGGGGAGAAAAAAAACTTGTTTATCTATGAATTGAAAATACAGTCAACTTCACTATTTTTGCTTTTTTTTCTAAGTTCTTTTTTTCCTTCATTGCGGTACTCTTCTGGCGCTCTTTCTCTCTCTGGCTATTTTCTGCTTGATCATTTTGAACTAGTGTAGTATTTCCGGGATTTTCAGGGTTTGCAGTGAGAGAGAAAAAAAAGAAACTTTAAGATAATCTTGTCTTGTTGGCGAATTTTTTTTGTCTTCATTGCACACTCCCCCGTTTTGGAGGCAGAAGAAGAAAAAACAGAGCTCAGAGTTGACGCCACGATGAGTGTTGTTTGATCTTTTGGAGTGGAGAAACTCTCTGCGTTGTTTCGTTGGGATTTTTTGAATTGAATGGATTTCAAGTAACACTTTTCTTTTGTTATTCACTTGCAGCTGGAGCAGAGAGATGTTCCCGGCATTGACTGTGCTTACCTGGCGATGGACACAGAGGAGGGTGTCGAAGTTGTGTGGAACGAAGTGCAGTTTTCCGAAAGACGAGACTTCAAATCGCAGGAGGAAAAAATCCAGCAAGTTTTCGAGAACTTAACACAACTGGAGCATCCGAATATAGTCAAGTTTCATCGGTATTGGACCGATACACATAACGATAAGCCTAGGGTAATTTTTTTTGAACATAAAAACATTGACTTCAGAGCTATTAATTTACCTGCTTCACAAAGAAAATGGATTTAATATTGACAATTACGAGAGTTTAATTGATAAAAGAAACATCATACAACTTTGCATGCAGAGCTTTTTCAAAGAGAAGAACCTTTATGGCTTTTTCAACAAAGAATTTATTGGCAACTCTCAATGATGTGGAGATTGTTATGTTTTTCCTTCCATCGATTGAAGTTGTATTGCAAGCACTTAATGGCTAAATCGGATATTACAAACTGTTTATTGAAGTTTACAAAGCATTTGGCTCATTTTCGTGTAGAATATACTCATGGTTAAAGTCAATTTGCGGACATTTATTTCATTTATATCTTGCGATAATGGAAAATTAGTCATAAAACGGGAAATTTGAAAAATCACTGCTCTTCATCGATGAAATAGCTCTGGGGTATAATAGAATTGACTATAAATTGTATTTTATCTCTCGTGTGACTGCATTTTCTGATCTGATATTGTCTCTCTCTCCGCACAGGTAATATTTATAACTGAGTGCATGTCCTCCGGGTCACTGAAACAGTTCCTAAAACGGACTAAGAGGAATGTTAAGAAACTACCACTGCAGGCGTGGAGGCGGTGGTGCACACAAATATTATCAGCTCTAAGGTTCATATATATATATTTCATTATATTTATTATGTCATTGTACTTGGTTTATGTATAACTCAATATGTGTTTCTCTTTTTTTTTGTCTCTTCCACATTACTTCATTTATAGTTATTTGCATTCCTGTTCGCCGCCAATTATACACGGCAACCTTACCTGTGATACAATATTTATTCAACACAATGGTCTAGTAAAGATTGGTAGTGTAGCTCCCGATGCCATTCACCATCATGTAAAGACATGCAGGGATAATATGAAGAATATGCACTTTATTGCACCAGAATATGGTGGTAAGCAATGTTACTGGTTATTTTCTTATTACTCTCTTGTCTAGTTATGGTAAAATTGCAATGAGTTATTGATATATAATTGATTTGTGGGAAAATTTATTGGTTGTAAATCTCCATTGAGATTCCATTACAATTGCTGCGCCAAGTGTGTAATAGTTGTGTGTTGGACAATAGAGTGGCGCCGTGTCTAAATTGCAGAGACACAGGAAAAAAAATAGTCTATAAAGTGTGTGAGATTCACATAGAGGCCAATTCTCTGTGTGCAATTAAATTCTATAGAAATTGATGCAAAATTGCTAATTCTATTTTCTAATAATCAATTGAGTCATACTTCAATTGATTCATAGAATGTACAATTGGATTCTTGTACTCAAAGCCGCTCGGTATTGTAAAGCCATTCTCTCTATAATCAAATGGAGAATCTTCATTGAGTCGTTGACTTGCGGCTCAGAAGGTGGTTGGGAGGGGAAGAAAGGAAATGAATGAAATTCTTAGTGATAAGAGAATGGGAGTATTTCATTGCGTGGGTAATTGATGAGTTGTACTATATGAAATAACCCTTCTTCTTTTGTATCTCTTTGTAGCTGCCCTGACACCTGCCATAGATATTTATTCATTTGGTATGTGTGCATTGGAAATGGCCGGCTTGGAAATACAAGGCAACGGCGATTCCGGAACACTAGTCACTGAGGAAATGATTACACGAACAATTGAAAGCCTCGATGATGCTCAACAAAAGGACTTCATCCTAAAGTGCCTGAATAAAGACCCCGCCGAACGAGATAGTGCTAGGGAATTATTATTTCATCCACTTTTGTTTGAAGTTCACTCGCTTAAGCTGTTAGCGGCGCATTGTCTAGTTGATACGGCACGTTAGTATCTCTCTGATTATTCTATTAAATCTTTCCTTAATTTATTTGCAAAAACAATGTGTGCAATGTTGTGTGGATTGAAGGAGAAATGCTATTGTGACATTTTTTCCACTCCTTCCGCTCGACATTTATCCCCACATTCTCACTTGATTTCCTTGCAAATATTTCTGTGTCTGTGTTTGCAAAGGAATCGATGATTGATGGGGGATTGATGTGGAAATTGAGAGATTTCCACGATCAGTTGATCAAACACCATCATTGGGATGTGACGTTGATTTGGCGCTTTTGATTAAATTGTCACTATCAAAAGTATAGAGAGAAAGCTTTTCCCACTGTTTGTGTGGAATAAAGAATTTCTCAAGAAGCCAAATAGATCGTTTTCTCCCTGTGAAAGAGATCAACAATAAAAAATCCTCAAATTTGTCACACAATCTGTGGGTGAAGTAGATTTTTCTGGGTGAAATGGAGGAGAAATATTGATTATTTCTTGTAATTACAGCAAATTTACAGCAAGAGCCGACAATTGACGAAGCAATGCAAAGAGTGTATAAACCCGACATTGTCCTTGCGGACATTTCTCGAGCCAATGATCCTGTGGAAGTGAGATTAGCTGATGTGCAATCGGCTGAGAAGCTGGAGAAGTTCGTGGAAGATGTGAGGTATGGCATTGATGTTTGGCTGTGTTTTGAGTATAAATCGATTAATTGTCATTCTTTCCAGATTTGGCGTTTATCCCTTGACTGCATTTCCGGCCCAACAACCGCCGCCACCGCGACCAAGAGCTATATCACCAGAACCAACGGAGTCTGTGAAGTCAGTGACGCCAGAACCTCTAGATGTAGAAACTAGGAAAGTTGTGAATATGATGTGTAGTGTAAAGCCAAGAGAAGACAGCTGTGATCTAATGGTAAGGAGAACATATTTTATACTGTTTGTGTCCACAAACCACACACAAAAAACATTACATGCTGTAAGAAGATATTTGCCAACCCCAATTTTGCATCCACATGAGATTATATATTTCTTTCCACACTGCGCGCGCTCTTCTTGCAAATGCATTATAATAATGCAAGTGTTGCACGACACAAGATGACTGAAGTGTGGTAGCTGTGTGGCGAAGGGGGTAGAGAACGATGATGCAGAACAGCAAGCAAGCAAGCAAGAGAGAGAGAGAGAGAGAGAGGGAGAGGGAGACCTTGCTATTGAAAAGTTAACGATGCATTGTAGACGTGTGCATGAGGAGTGAAACGAGATAATAAGAAGAAAACGACCACATAGAGACACACAGACATATATTTCTAATTTAACAATCCATTATATCGCTCAATGAACTAAAAAAAAATGATATTTATACATTTTAATGTGCAGTGTTTTCAGATGACAATACTACTCCGGATGGATGATAAAATGAATAGACAACTGACATGCCAAGTCTCTCAAGATGACTCAGCGACGCATCTTTCTGAAGAATTAGTACATTTAGGATTTATTCATGAGGTAAGGTTTAATTCGCAATCCTTCGGCGATGGTGATAAACACAGTGTGTTTTGTGTTCCTTCTGCAGACGGATCGGGAAAAAATTGCGTCGCTGATTGCAGATACATTGAGCAGCTATTTCAGTAAACTCAGCAGCGCTTTGATGCAGGGCGTCGATCCAAGCCACATGCAGATGCCTGTCCATTCGGCCAGTTAGTAGCCTCTCTCTTTATTCTTACTATTCTTTTGCACCTCCTGTGACTTCTCTGCATATTTCTTCTTTTTAATTCTGACAATAAATCTTTCTATTCTGTTTGATTGAGAGAGAAAGAGAGAGAGAGAAAGAGAGAAAGCGAATTTTTATGTATAATGAAAAAAAAAATGTAGAATTTGAATACATTTATTTGATATGTTTTATAGAGATGCAATAATGAAATTTCCAACATTTTCTTTTAATCAGTGAATTGTCGCTAAAAACACTTTTTTCCTTTTTAAATCTAGATTGGTGTCAAAAAAATGGGAAGAAATATCAATTTTTTTATTTCATGCGTTTCTTTTCTTTTCACCTGCAGATTTCTTAATTCTTTTCAACGATCTTTTTTTCTGCTATCACTGTCAATATTACAACTGTTATTCTAACTTTTTCCATACAATTATATTGTCTTTTCTTCTTTGCATCTTTTAGATTTTCCGTAGACTGTAGAAAGAGAATGTGAGGCAAATGATAAAAGGAGATTTGTAGCGAAAAAGTGTCTCTTAGTTTTGTACATACTTTGGCGAGTGTGTGTTTTGTGTGAAGAGAGCGAGAGAAGTAGATGTGAAAGAAATTGTAGATTGAGATGAATTTGTGGCACGAATATTCCGTATGTCGTATTGCAGGTATTGAGCGCAATTGGACTGTGGCGGACAGCAACTCGCCGAGTGGCGGCGGCGGAGGGATTGCGTCTGATGGCCCGTCCACGCCCACCACCGTCTTGGCGTCTCCGGCGTCCACGAGTACATCGATCGCCGCCAATCTGGAGATTCCCGGCGGCGTCCAGAAGCAGCTGACGCCGCAGAGCGAAACGTCAGAAGTGGCGAACGATGTGTTGTCGATGCCAATGAGAAGTGCAGCGCCGGAGAAGATGACTTATGTCGCTGAGGCGGCAATTAACACCACCATCGCGCCGACGTCAACAACAACCACCTTGCCGATCACCACTCAGGCGCACATCAAGAGCGTGGCGCCGCGAGGGGCTGAATGATCCGCGGCGGGAAGGCGGAAGTCGCGAAGTTCCGTCACGAATGTCAGCAAGGGGAAAGGCCAGCAAGTGAAGAAGGATTGTCCATAGAATATATGACTTTCTTCAGTGGCAAAAGAAGCAGAATTTTGCGCCTAAAACAGCTTCACACTTACGATAGACGATTGTTTAGTGTTTGTAAATGTAAAACAAGGTAAAAAACAGACGAAATTAATGAAACAAATATGACGAAGACGCTCGAAGAGAATGAAAGCGTCTTAAAGCGACTTTGCTTGTACTTCCCATCGCGCACAAATTCGACGTTGAGACAAAATGGGCCTTTCTCCACGACTTTCGCAATTTCCATCCTTCCCTGGCAGTCAGAGAATCGAAGGTGGTTTTAGAGATCTAGATTAAGAGACATTTTAGGCAAAAGTCCTTAAATCAAACAATATATCTTAAACATGAATGAAGTGAAGTTTGAAAGAAAAACTTCACTGCAAACTGAATTGTTATAAATGAACGAAATGCAAAGAGAGAGAGAGAAAGAGAAGGAAAGAAGTAATGATGCAAAAATCGAATGAAAAGGCATGAATATTACCAAAAAAAAAGAAAGAAGGGAGAAAAGAAAAGTTCATTAAACTCTGCACAAGTGTATAAAGACATTGTGAGAACAAAGCATTACTGTGTCGATGATTCACGCCCAATTCTTGCACACAAGTTTGCGAAAAGAACTTTCTCAGAGAGAGAAAGAAAGAGACTTTATTTTGCCCAAGAGAGAGAGATGATCTTCATTGCGACCAGTTTTCACTTTGTAGATAGAAGGCAATGTTACAATTTAACCCGAAATGTCTAAAAAAAAACACTATCAGTGCGATTTCACATGAAAGTGTTACCGCGTGAGAAAGAGAGAGAAATGAGGGTGAAAGAGAGGGAATGAGGGGAGTTTTAGAGATGTTAAAAAATGCGCTGTGAGCACAAAATACATATTTTGTAATGATTGCAAAAAATTATGAATTTTGGAATGAGAAGAGAAAAAGAACGATAACGCAATTTCCTTAATTCCTTTCCTTTCTGCATTAAGATTTTGAACAGGATTTTTATAAAAATTGATTATTTTGACTGTCCAAGCAATACTTTTTCAACACATTTTAATGACTAAAGTTTCCTTCCGCAAACTTGATTTTTTTTTTGTTAGAAATGAAGAAAAGAAAAACACACTTGAATATGAAAATACAGGGGGCGAGGCTGTGCAGATCATTGGAAAAAGTATAAAAAACTAGAGAAGAAAAACATTGGATAAAATGTAGAAGATTTTATGTGGAAAAATTTGCGAGAAAATGATTGAGACCAAAATTTCGAACTTGAATTTTTAAATCTAGTCTCGCACCCTTCAAAAAAGAAACACACACAAAAATTCTAAAAGCTTGACAAACATTTTATACTTCTGCAGAATACTTTTCTCATTGCTTCTAATTATGATTTTTCACACACACACACAGAAGTGAAAGTGAAGAAAACAGAATCGATATTATTTAATGGTATAGAATGAAGAGAAACACACTTTATTGACAAAGAGGTGGAAAGAATACATAAAACATTAAATGTAAGTTAGTTGGATTTTGTCCGAATATCAATTTCGTTCAAATGGAATTTGATTAGCATCCATATATATTTAAAATAGAAAAAAAGAGAGAGAAATGTTAGTAAAAAAAAAAGTGGATTTGTCTAAATTCTTCACACGACTGAGTTGTTTTTTCCTTTTTCTGCAAAGAAACGCCCATTTATTTTATGTATTTTTTTTTATTAGTTTATGGATTAGAAATAATTTTATACACTTATATATTCATATATATAAATATATATATATATCAGTTTTATTTCTGCACTAAAGCAACATATTTTCCAACTGCCATAGAATGTTTTATTTTGCAAAATTACAGAAGAATTTCAGTGAGAAAAAAAATGTTCTTTTTATTTGTGCAAATTGAGCCTTCTTGAAATCGAACGTAATAAAAATTCATACAGCAAATAGAAAAGAAGAAGAAAAAACAGAGAAAGAGTAGAAATTTGGAAAATATCCAATTCTCAAGCCATTTGTAAAGTAAAAGTGAAGAAAAAATATGTATTAAAGTATAGGCAAAATTAAAAAAAAAAACCAACAAACATATAAAATGTGGAAATAGCACGTAAAATATTAGACCTTACAGTAATTCATTGTTAACGGGAGGGAAAGAGTAAGAGAAAGAGAATGAGAGACGCAAGATCATCAGAACGAAGTGTAGAAAACTGAGAGGAAAAGTGAAGCTTAGTGCAAAAGCTAGTCATATCGAAGAAAATCCCAAAAATGTTCATACGCAAAGGCAGTAGATGCTAGTTTATGTAATTATAAATGATAAAGAAAAAATGATAGTAAATAGAGAAAATAATAGTGAATATGAATATATATTTTATATATGTGCGCGCGTGCGTGAGTGCAGAAGGCATAAGCATAATGTTGACACGGAGAATAAGAAAAAAATCACACTATGAATTAATCTTTAACGAGTAAATTGTGAGAGGAGAGAAAACATTTTGCTATATTCTTTTTCTACGAAAAGCGCGTGTGAAGAGAGAGTGTGAGTCACTGATGACATGTGAGAGAGAGAGAGAGAGAGAGAGAGAGAGAAAGGAGATGAAAAACTATATATCTTGCACTAATTCGGAGTCCAGGCAAAGAAAATTCGTTCGTTTGGCAAATTTATACATCTTTTATTTTTGTTTTTAGAGAGATTATTGATTTATTCCCATGGAAAATTACCTGAGAAATTTTGTAAATTGACGAAATATTCCAAATACCAAAATTTGCGTGTGTTCTTGCTGCACTTTTGTAATAAACAAACAACAACAAAAAGAAAGAAAAAGAAAAGATTCTTTATATGTCATAAAGGAAATCAAAAGAATAATTGTATTTTGACTTATTGTTTTATGTTTTTTTTGTATATTTGTTTCATTAGTTAATTCTTTTTTTTTCGTCATAAAATATTATAATTGTAAGCTTGCAAAAAGAAGATGAAGAAAAAAAAGGATATTTGTGTCCCCCAAAAATCACCCTGACGCATTTCAATTTAACAGATTAAAGAAGAAGAAGATGAAGAAAGAAAGAAACAAGAGAAATCCCCTTTTAATAATACTCAATTTTTCATTATGATTAAGATGAGGAAAATGGTTATTTGTAAATATGAGGAAAATTATATTTAGCTTCTAAAAACTTCTAACATGAAAGACGAGACGCGACACGACAAATTGCATGTCTAAAGAAAAGATGCTTCTTGTAATAGGACAACAAGAGAGAGAGAGAGAGAGAGAGAGAGAGAGAGACGAGGCAGAAGATTATATTATATAAAGCTTGTGGAAAGAATGTCTTTTCTCTGTTGTATTTTCACATCTTCTCATCCTTCTTTCGGGATCTTGTTGCGAGTTGGACGATGATGTTGTGCGTGCGTGCGTGAGTCTGTCGCGGGCGAAGAACAGCGGCGGCGGCGGCGGCGGGAAATAGTTGTAGAAAGTATGCCTATCTGAGACTGACGTATTTGTAATAGCATGAAAACATAAGAGAAAAAATAATGAATAAGAATGAAATGATTAGAAATTCAATTAAAATGTAAATAGAAGAAGAAAAAGAGGGGAGAAAAGAGGATCTTTTGGGAAATGCGCGCGAGAATGAATGAGAGAAAATGGCAAGAGAAACATTGATTTTCCGATTTGATTTTTCACACCAAACTTCTCCTTATAAAATATTCTACTTTCCTTGTCAGCGCCAATAAACAAGATGTAGAGAGAGAGAGAAGGAGAAGAACGAGTTCTTAAAGTAAATTTGAATACAATATTAAGAAAAAAAAAGCAAAAAAGATGCAAAGTTGCATGTTGATAAAAGCCTAAAAAATTCAGATGTTTGCTAATATTTCATTGCATATGATGAAGAAGAAAAAAAAACTAAATAAATGGACATTACATTATTCTATTGTAGACGCAAGAATGCAAAAGAGAAACGAAAGAGTGAGTGAAATGGAAGGAAAAGTGATAATTTTTTAGTAAGAAAAATACTTACATATTTTTTATATTTCTGCATTAATTAAAAATGGAATCATGATGAAAAA